GGTGTGGCTCAGTGGTAGAGCCCCTGCCTAGAACCCCCCAGTGAGGGGCTGGGTTGTGGCTCAGTGGTGGAGCCCCTGCTTACTATGCATAGGACCCTGGCTCCATTCCCAGACCAGGAGAGAACGGCTCCTTGTCCCCTGAGAATGTGCACACTTTGGAGCGGTGGTCACCTGTTTCATAGACTTAAGATAGATGGTCTGTGATGCTTGGAAGTGGCAGAGGTGTGTCCTTGCAGAGTTGGATCCACGACATGAAGCTTTTGGGTCCTCACTCTCCCTGGTTCTGCCTCTAACAGAGTGTCACTGGGTTCGGGCGTCAGATGATTGAGAAAACCAAGCAACTAGTGGAGTCCAAGTACACCCTGGAAAATGGCTACGATGCCAACGCCAAGGTTAGAGTCTGCTCATACCTGCCTTCTCTCCAGGGTCCTTGGGCTTCCAGCCATGGCAGGTTCTGGGTTGAGAAGAGACATTCCTCTCACATGTACCCTGGCAGGTGGTCTACGGTGACACTGACTCTGTGATGTGCCGATTTGGTGTCTCCTCGGTGGCTGAGGCAATGTCTCTGGGTCGGGAGGCCGCAAACTGGGTATCCAGTCATTTCCCATCACCCATCCGGCTTGAGTTTGAGAAGGTGCGTGTGTCCCCTGCACTCAGCTCTGGAGACAGTAGGGGTCTTGGCAGTTAGCAATGGTCTCTTAGTACTTGTGTGCCTGCAGAGGCTGACACTGCAGTAGTGTGGGGATGCCCAGGTTATGGATGTCTTGCAGTGCTCTGGGCCTGCTTCCCACTCCCATGAGTCTCTTGGGTATCCATTCTTAGGACACAGAAGCCCAGTGTTCTGGGTTCTGAGCCAGAGGCCTCCCTTGCACAAACCAGGGGTGTGCATGGACCCTGAAGTGCTCACCTGGCTTCTTCCCGCTGCTCAGATGTGCACCCTGGCTGCTCCAGTCCTTGGGTCGGGGATCATCTCGGCTCTGGATTCCATGATTTAGGGGCCAGCTCTATGACTATGGTGTGATGTCAAGTCAGGTTCCTAGGATGCTGGAGGGTATCAGGCCTCCTTAGGGCTCATTTCACCAAGGTCACAGGCTCTTCTTTGCTTCTCCTGCTTCTGATGAGTCTCAGGATTGGGGGTGGGGGAAGGGCACAGGGTCACCACTCATGGGTCTCTTCTAGGTTTACTTTCCATACCTGCTCATCAGCAAGAAGCGCTATGCTGGCCTGCTCTTCTCCTCCCAGCCTGATACCCATGACAGAATGGACTGCAAGGGCCTGGAGGCTGTGCGCAGGGATAATTGTCCCCTGGTGGCCAACCTTGTTACATCCTCTCTGCGCCGAATCCTCGTGGACCGGTATGTGTATGTCCCGCCTAGACCAAGAAGCCAGCCTCCCTCAGACCCGGGGGCCCAGCACCCTGCCCTGGGGACACAGGTGTCTTGGCATGACGGTGGGGCAGTGGTGAATCAGGCTGGCGGCTGTGATTGCCTCTGGCCTTTCCTGCCTCTGCACTTGCCCAATCCAGTCTCAGCCCATAGTGCCTGATCCCTAGCTCCTAGCTGATGAAAGTTGCAGCCCTATCCTCAGTAGTCCCGGGTGACACCCTCCATCGTCTCAGGGATCCTGACGGTGCAGTGGCCCATGCAAAAGATGTCATCTCGGACCTGCTCTGCAACCGAATAGACATCTCCCAGCTGGTCATCACCAAGGAGCTGACCCGTGCAGCATCAGACTACGCTGGCAAACAGGCTCACGTGGAACTGGCTGAGAGGTGGGGCAGTCACCCAGCCTCCTGCAGCTGGGGCCACTCAGCCCTCCCCAAACCTCACCCATCTCCCCTATCCGCAGGATGAGGAAGCGCGACCCCGGCAGCGCGCCCAGCTTGGGTGACCGCGTCCCCTATGTGATCATTGGTGCTGCCAAAGGCGTGGCTGCCTACATGAAGTCGGAGGTCAGGCCCACCTGGGCTCTGCCCCTCCCAGAATCTCACTTCTGCTTTCCTTGGGGCGGTCAAGCCCCTGGGCCTGACTGCCTAGTGCCTCCTTGTACAGAGCTGGCTGCTGTACCATCTCCGCCCCTCCCTGCCCAGAGTGCCAGCATTTCTATTTGCTTTTATCATTTCAAGCCACCCGGTGAACAGTGACCCAGTTCTCAGCCTTGTGACCTCTGACCCCTGCACCCCCTCCATGGCCCTTCTCATGTGGGGAAACTGACTCTTAGTGTCCTGAGGGCCCCCACCCAGGCCAGAGTCATGCCCCCAGGTTCCACCCCTTCCTCACAACCTGCGGGTGGTGTCCACAGTTTTCCCCAACCGGTGCCCCTCTGCAGCTGTTGGTAACCCCAGCCTGCCCACAGGACCCCCTGTTTGTGCTGGAGCACAGTCTGCCCATCGACACTCAGTACTACCTGGAGCAGCAGCTGGCCAAGCCACTGCTGCGCATCTTTGAGCCCATTCTGGGTGAGGGCCGTGCAGAGTCTGTGCTGCTGCGTAAGTGGAGCCCCGAGGAGAGGGTGTGGGCGAGGAAGGGCCAGGGGCAAGGCTGTCAGCTCCTCTCCTATAGGTGGTGACCACACACGCTGCAAAACCGTGCTCACCAGCAAGGTTGGTGGCCTCCTGGCCTTCACCAAGCGCCGCAACTGCTGCATTGGCTGCCGCTCCGTGATCAACCATCAGGGTGAGACCCAAGCCACAGCTCCTACAGCCATGGTCGGGCTTCCACAGGCCCCACTCTGCCCACACTCCAGCAGAGGGTCCTCACCCGCCCCGGGGTTCCCCAGGGGAGTTTTCCCCACACACTCAGGCCCTTGTTCTCCAGCCTCTGGGGACTTTCAGAGGCCGGGATGGGCCGCGGGTGGAGAAGAACAGAGATGCGGGGATGGAGGCTAGGGCCTGGCTCTGTCCCAGCACCCCTGTGCTGATACCCACCCCGCCCCCAGGAGCTGTGTGTGAGTTCTGTCAGCCACGGGAGTCAGAGCTCTATCAGAAGGAGGTGAGTGAGGTAGGGCTGGAGCTGGGGCAAGCCTGACCCCCACAGTCCTGCTCAGCCCACTGTGTGCCCAGGTGTCACACCTGAATGCCCTGGAGGAACGCTTCTCACGCCTCTGGACACAGTGCCAGCGATGCCAGGGCAGCTTGCATGAAGACGTCATCTGCACCAGGTGCCCTCCCCCTCTGCTGCCAAGACTCCTGACCCAGACCTCACTGAAGAGAGGGCAGGGTCTGCCTGGCTAGGCGCCCGCACAGCCTCCCCGAGGGTGGGGCCGGGCTTTCCCCAGGGAACGGGCGGGCGGGGCGGGTTCCCACGCCAGGTGACAGCTGATATACGGCTGGCTACCTCTCGGCACTGCTGTTATCGGCTCCCCTGTGCCCGCTAAGCAAACAGCCCCCTCCCCTGGGTGGGCAGCAGGTAGGGGCCAAAGTCCTGGGAACGGCCCCTGACCACCACCCTTCACAGCCGCGACTGTCCCATCTTCTACATGCGCAAGAAAGTTCGCAAGGACCTGGAAGACCAGGAGAGGCTGCTGCAGCGTTTTGGACCTCCGGGCCCTGAGGCCTGGTGACCTGAAGAGGGACAGGGAATAAAGCTTAGACTTTTGCTACTGGCTGTGTGTTGTGGTCTCGGGGAACAGATTGGGCTTCATGGCTCAGGCGCTGTGCAATCCCTTGGGGCCTCAGTGCCTCTGCCTGTGCCCACATAGGGCTGGCATCTCTGTTTCCCTTCTGAAACCTCGAGTAGGACCCGCCACCCTGCTCTGCTCCTCCCCACGGAGCTGGTGGTCGCCCAGCTGGCACCAGGTGCTGTCCTGTTTCCTTCAGGCCTCGGGCAGCCCTTGGCACATCGGCTTCCACACCTCAGCGCAGCAAGGGGACCCTCCCTGACGCTGTACTTCCACCATGGGGTCCTGGTGGTCTGTCTGCCTGGGCTTCCCCTCCACTCTTGGGAGGTCCCGTCTTCACAGCTGTTCCTGGGCCTCACTGCCCCAGGCCATCTTGCCCTGGTCACCATTGGCTCCCTCCTGTGGCATCTTACTCCAGCGCCTACAAGCCCTCATCACCTTGCCCTTTCTCAGAACTCTCTCCACCCCTCCGAGTCAGCCCTCCACCCCAGTGGTGGGGAACCCCAAATCCAAATGGCTCCTAGGCCCACCCTCCCTGCCACGTGACCAGAGGGTTGTGCAATCCAGACCCCTCCCCAAGGGGATTTTTGAGGAGGGCCCCCGTGGCCCGCCCCTGGAGGATGGGGGCTGGGCCAAAACGTATAAATACAGGGGTAGTGGCCAGAGGCAGCCCAGCCTGCCGTCAACCACCATGCTTGCTCTGGAGGCTACACAGTAAGTGGGTAATCCCTAAACCTGTACTTGGGACTCCCACCCCACTCAGCACCCTCTGCTTCTGTGGCCCCCAAGGCAGGTGATAAGGGGGTGGTCCCACTGTGCACAGAACAGATCTCCCGTTAGCTCCGTTCCTAGACAGGTTTCCAGCATGGCATGTTGTGGAGACACTCACCCCCATCCTGCCCGGGTCCTCCCAAGTGTGTCTGTCCTCTGCATGGTATTGCACGCTCCATTTCTGGCGCTCTGCCCCTTGAGTTTTGTCTATTTCCTTCTGTCCAACCGTTCCCTTCAGCTCCTGGCACCTACCCGAGCCGCCCGTCCTGGGGCACGAGAAACCCCGTCCCTTTGCTCACTCCCTTTCGGACTCTCCGTTTCTAGCCCTGCTCTTCATTCAGTCCATTGCTTCTGGTCTCAGCTGGGCTTGCTAGGAAGACACTCAAACCGAGCTCTGGCCACCCTGTCCCCAGCTGTCTGGGGACTTTCTCCCTCTTACTTTCCTTGTCTCCCCCCAGTGTCTGGGCATGCAAATCCCAGGGGTAGTGGGGGACATTTGCCTGGCACCCGCCCCCTACTTCCTGTCCTGATGGGGGTGTGGGGGTGACTGTGGGAAGGCTGGGCGCACACAAGAACAGCCAGCAGACTGCAGAGCTGTGGTGGGTGATCACAGCTGCCATCGCCTCCCCTGTGGGCCCCACAACCACTCTGAGTCTCAGGTGGCCAAGGGCAGCCCTGACATGCCCCTGTGTCTCTCTCCTGCCAGGCTGGAAGGCCCACACTTGAGCTGTTTGGTGAGTCGGAGGCCCCCAGGGGGGGAGCGGGCCCCTGTGGCCCATGGGGACTAACTTTTCTAAGATCATCTGCTTCTGGCCTCAGTTTCCAGTCTCTGTCTCCCCAAACCCCCATCCCCACCTCACCTGTCTGCTATCTTTCTAAAACTTGAGGCTACTTCCTTGTCCTTGTCTACCTGTCTATTTCATGCTGTATGTGTACAGCCCCTTCTTTTGGGGCTTACCTTATGGATCTTAGGCCTTTTAACGATGGCATTTAGGACGCCAACTATTTTCCCCAACATTTTTTAACTCACAGCCCAACAATGAGACCTTTCCTGTGGTGGCAAGAAGCCCCCACTTCCTTGAGTTTTGTTGGGCTTTGTTTTGTCTTAATTGAGACGGTCTCTCAGTGTAGCCCTAGCTGGTATCAAGTTCATGATCCTCCTGCCTCAGCCTTCAGAGTACTGGGGAGTTTAAAACTGGTGTCTTACGTGTGCATCAGTGAGTGTCTTTATTGTATGCACCCCCGTAGCCATTACCAGACCCAGAGCCAGAAAGATCCCGCCATTCTGGAACATTCCCTGGCGTTCCTTCCTATGAAGTCTCACCCCATATTCTACGTTGATTCATTTGAAGTTTGTGTTAACTGACTCATGCATAGGTCTTTTGGGCACCTAACCTCTTTCCATCTACAGCATGTTAGGTACCTGTCCAATGCCTTTGCTGCATGGTCTGCCACCCACCAGTACAGTGTGTTTATCCTTCTTCTTGCTGAGAAGCTTGTGATCTGGGATCAGAGCAGAGCTGCCTCAGGCTGCTCTAGCTCCCCGACATGAACAGGAGGGGTGTGCTGGAGTCAGTGGGGTAGCACTTATCTGCTTCAGATCTAGTCTCCACTGCCTCTACAATGGCTGTGCTGAAGCAACATAGAATTGTTGAGATGAACTGGTGCATGCCTGTCACCACAGTACTCAGAGGATAGCAATCACTTCAAGTCCTGGGCTAGCCTGGGCTACAGAGTGAGTTCCTGGGTACCAGCTGCATAGTGGAAACTACTAGGGTTCCTTGAGGGTGTCCCTTACTCATGGACTCAGCCTCTGTCTCTGTCCTTGTCGGCCTCTCCCTTCTTTCACATGTCTGTCTTCCAAAGGTTGGGGACGGGGGAGTCTCCAAGGCCTGGGATGACTCTGTCCTCACTCCAGCAGTACCCAGAAGGTGTCTTCTATGACCTGGACAGCTGCAAGCCCTTCAGTTACCCAGATTCAGATGGGGGCCCTGGTGAGTGACCCCAGCTTCCTAGCACCTTAGGCTCAGTTCACAGAGGGGGAGCTGAGACCCATGGGAGCTCTCCCTCATCATGGAAGCCCCTCCCCAAGCCACCTCCCTACCCCCTCCAGTCCATCTGCTCCCCCATGCAAATTCTGGGGTCAGAGATTTGCACAGCTTACAAAGGCTCCTCTGTGTGGGACCTTGAGGGAGCGGGTCTTCTGTCCACCTTTGGCTACTGACTCTGACCCTTCTCCTAGACGCCACCTGGGGCTGGACAGAGGCCCCACCTGCCCCCACCATCGCCCCCTATGAAGTCTTCGACCCCGCTACGGCTGCCTTCGCCCACTCCCAGGCTGTGCAGCTCTGTTACGGTCATGGTCTCGGCCCCTCTGCCTACAGCCCTGTGGGGACCCTAGACCCAGCCCCCAGCTTGGAGCCTCCAGGGCCTGGCCTCCAGGTGTACCCCTCAGAGGACTTCGTCAGCCAGGTGAGGGGCAGGGAGAGCTCGGAGGGAGACGTCCCACCTCATCTTTCTTCTGCAGCTCTCTGAAATGAACTTCTGGATTGTGCTTGGGCGGGGAACACGAGGACACCCTTCTGTCCCTCCTCTGTACTTCAATGCAGAGGGCAGTTCCTGGGTCCATGCCATCTACTGGCTGTGTAGCTTTGGGCAACTGCCTTAACGTCTCTGTGTATTGAGATAACCAAGGCCAGTGTCTACACTGTACAGGAAGATGGAGACCCAAGTAGTGAGGGCTGCAGGGGTCAGGGGAGACTGAGGGACTGATGTGCAGGTGACCCTGGTCTCCCACAGACCCTGGGCCCCTTGGCTCCGTACCCCAGCCCTGTGCTATCAGAGGAGGAAGACATTCTGCTGGACAGCCCTGCCCTGGAGGTCTCGGACAGTGAGTCAGACGAGGCCCTCTTGGCTGGCTCCGAGGGGAGGGGATCCGAGGCAGGTATGTGAGGTGGAGAGTTGGTGGGAATAGTGACTGTGGGTCAGGGGAGGGGCTGAAGGAACCAGGGTTCCCTAAGCACTTACTAATACCCCCCCCCAGGAAGTTCCTAAATCCATGCTACTTGTTGGCTGTGTGACCTTGGCCAAGGGCATCAACCTCTCTGTGCCATGGTTTCCATTGTACACAAAGCCACAGTCACAGCAGCAGTAACTGCCCAACACCTACCCACAACCAGTCTCCACCTCCTTGTACCTCTGTGTCTGGCCGCCTTTCGAGATTTCTCTGTTGGACATCAGTTTCCCATGTAGAAACCCGTTATCTTGTACTGCTCCGCTTCCCAGCCCCTTGCTGTGGGGCTTCTAGGCAAGGGGCTCTATCGTCCTTCTTTTTACTTTTTTTTTTTTTTTTTTTAAATTTTTTGAGACAGGGTTTCTCTGTGTAACATTCCTAGCTGTCCTGGACAGCTTTGTAGACAAGGCTGGCCTGGAACTCACAGAGACAGAGATCTACCTGCCTCTGCCTCTCAAGAGCTGGCATTAAAGGTGTGCGCCACCACCGCCTGGCCCTCTTTTTACTTCAACTAAGTTGCCCAGGCTGGTCTTGAACTTGTGATCCCCTTTCTCAGTCTCTGGAGTAGTTGGAATAATAGGTTTGAGCCAACTAGGTCCGACTCAATTGTGAAAAACTGAAGTGTGTCAGAGGGCTATGGATCTGGGGGTCCCTTCAACAGACTCCACCTCTTAAAGTGGGTCCCCAATACCCTGCAGGTGCACGCAAGAAGCTGCGCCTGTACCAGTTCCTGCTGGGGCTGCTGCTGAGAGGGGACATGCGCGAGTGCGTGTGGTGGGTGGAGCCGGGCGCCGGCGTCTTCCAGTTCTCCTCCAAGCACAAGGAGCTGCTGGCTCGCCGCTGGGGCCAGCAGAAGGGCAACCGCAAGCGCATGACGTACCAGAAGCTGGCGCGCGCGCTGCGCAACTACGCCAAGACGGGCGAGATCCGCAAGGTCAAACGCAAGCTCACCTACCAGTTCGACAGCGCGTTGCTGCCAGCCACCCGGCGCGCCTGAGCACCCCGCTGGGACCCCTTTCTGGCCCCCAGGTCCCAGGGCCCCTGGAGCCCCGTCTGGGGCTGCCAGGGTCCTCAGCTCTCACCAGGGCCTCCCCCAGAGTCCCCTGTGCCATATATGGGACAGGATGGTCGTGTTTGAGGGGCTGTCTCATGAACATGTCATTCTCCACGCTCCTAGCACGGCAGGTTTCTCCCTGGGGGCTCCTGGTGGTGGTTGCGGTTCCGGAATCCACCTTGGTACTTCTTGCCGGAGCCGGGTGATGACACACGTCATCGTACCAGCAGGTGGCGCTGTCTACAGCCCCCCCCAAGCGCCGCACCCCCCACCCCGCTCCGTGTGTGTGTGTGTGTGTGTGTGTGTGTGTGTGTGTGTGTGTGTGTGTGTGTGTGTGTGTGTGTGTGTGTGTGTGTTGGGTGGGTGGGTGTCCCGCTGTGCTGCCCTGAATCCCTTGTCAGATTTGAGATCTAGTTATGTCTTTATCTGGAGCCCTCTGAGAACCCTGTGCCATCTATGACTTTTCTCTGTGTCCACCTATGACTTTATTTGAAACAAGGTCTCACTATGTAGCTCAGAGTGGCCCCCAACTTGTGATAATCCTCCTGCCTCAGCATCCCAAGTGCTGGGATTACAGGGGCACACCACCACACCAGGCTTGTTTCTTTTTTTTTTTTTTTTTTTTTTTTCGAGACAGGGTTTCTCTGTGTAGCTTTGCGCCTTTCCTGGAACTCACTTGGTAGTCCAGGCTGGCCTCGAACTCACAGAGATCCGCCTGGCTCTGCCTCCCGAGTGCTGGGATTAAAGGCGTGCGCCACCACCGCCCGGCCGGCTTGTTTCTTTTTTGACGCAAGGTTTTACTCTGTGATCCAGGCTCTCCTCAAGCTTGTGGTGATCCTCTCGCCTCAGCCATCCTTGGGGACCCTCTGGGATCCATGTCTGACATGATTTGTTGGGTAGCGTGGGGGTGGGTTGTTTGGTAAATCTTGTAGACCGGGCCCTTCTGGGGTCCTTTGATCATATGAGAAGTTCTCTAGCATCCCTAGGTTCTCAGCAGTCCGAGTTCACATACTGACTCTCCTGCGTGAGGTGCACCTGGGTCATTCTAGCGCCTGGCCAGTGTGGGGTGTGTGGCGGAGATGCAGGTGTGTCAAGGCCTGTTATTTTTGAGGCTGGGTCTCATGTAGCTGAGACTGGCCTTGAACTCACTATGTAGCTGGGGTGACCTTGAGCTCCTGCCTCAGCTGGAGTGCTCAGATTACTGGCACCATCATGAGACTGTTTCTTTTCTTTTTCTCAAGTCAGTCTATCTTTGTGGCCCAGGCTGGCTTCAGACTCATAATAATCTTCCTGCCTCAGTGTCTGGGGTGCTAGGATTACGAACATGTTCCACCAAACCCCGCTTACCCCATGCCATCACTAACCAGACTTCTAAAGCTGGTTAACCCCCACCCACAAGGCAGGCAAATTAAGTCCTTGCAGGTGTTTTCTTCAGAGGAAAACGCGTTTTTACAGTGATCTTTCAAACTAGGAAGCTCCTCCACAGTCCAGACATCTGAATGGGAAACTTTGGACAATTGGTGACCTCTGGCCAGCTTTTCTGTGTCTAGAGGCTGGGACCAGCCCTGTCCTAGTGTTGGCCCAAGACCCTGCCCAGTGCCTGCCTGTCTCACCCCCTGTGGCTTCGTCAGCTGCCTGTTGGGGCCCAGTCTTTGCCCTTCAAGTGCTGGATACAGCCAGCTGCAGGCCAGGCCAGCTCAAAATGGTTCTCATTGGGCCTCCATGGCAGAAACAGAACCCAAGGCTTCCAGCCCAGGGGGGCGGGGTCACCTAGGCCTAGGTCCCTCTGAGGAAGAGGAGGAAGAAGGCCTCCTGCAACCCTGATAAACCTGACACATGAACTCACCTCTGGGTGGCCAGGACGGGAAAGAAGGATCGTGGAAGATTTGGATGTCCATGTGGCCAAGGCTAAGCTGGCACCTAGGAAAATTCTTTCTTCAAAAGCCAACATCATCACTCTACATGGATAATAAATAAAATCCTAAATCAAGGTTACAGCTGGGACCCTTTATCAAACACTGCCCCTGCCCCTCCGCCGGATCTGGCTGGTACTGACACTGAGGCGGCTACAGTAGGGGGCAGATGAGGGACGAACCGTGAAGTCCCCGGGCTCCTGTCCGCTCACTCCTCCACTCCAGGTTTCTAGCTTTTGTGTGTTCGTTTTCTAAAGATAGGATCGTTCTCACATTGTAGTTCAGGCTGGCCTCGAAGTCACGCCAATTCCCCTGTTTCAGCTCAGCCTCTGGAATTCCGGGATTCAAGGGTGTGCCACTTCCCTGGGCCACTATGTAACTTGCCTGCTCCCTCGGGAGCGAGGTGGAAGTTTGCCGGGCAACCGAAGGCGTCACAGGGAGGCTGCCTACTAGTTGGCTTAGTGCCCCCAGAGGCGGGCAAGTTTCCGGCTGTCAGGGGATTTTGTAAAGTGGAGAGGAGGGAGGGGAGTAGGAAGAAAGAAAAGAGATGGAGGCAGCTTGTCTTGGCTCCCCTGGGCCCTGACCCAATCCTTTTCCCTGACACCCTCCTGGGCCAGCCACGCCTATGGTACCCCAAGCCCCTCTCTTCGTCCTTACCCCCTCCTCGGCTCTCTGGTGCTGGGAAGGAGCCGGCCCGGGCAGCCCTCCAGGGCCTTCCCGGCCTCTGCACCCGGCCGGTGACCGGCAGCCGGCCAGGCCGCTCCCAGGGGGACCCACACCAGGACAGGGCGGGAGGGACACCGAGACCTCCTCCCCCCGGCAGGCACCCGTCCTGCCTACGCGGGGAAACCGGACTCTCTCTCCCGGCTCTGGTTTCTAGAAAACTCCTGACTCGGGCTGGCTAAGGAAGGCTTCCGGAACCTACCCCTCCCGCGCCCTGTGCACCTGAGACCCCCAGCCCTGCTCCTCGTCCTCCTCCCAGGACCTAGTCGGCCCCTCCCCACACACTCCTCTCCTTCCAGGACCCAGGTTCCCCTCCTCCTTCATCTCCTTCCTTTCCCCTCGTCTCCTCCCCCTTTGTCCCGGGACACAAGTGCGCTCTCCGTTTCCCCTCTCTCCCCATCTTGTGGTCTGCTCCCTTCTCCTCCCTCACCCCCATTTCTCCAGGACCTAAGGATCTGGGCCCCTGCGCCCCAGACCCCCTCCTGAGGTCATGCAGTCTCTACCTTTGCACCTCCACAGACTCAGGTGTCCAAGCTCCCCCAGCCCGCCCCCACTGGGGCCCTGGCACTCCTCCACCCCTCTCGGTCTGTTAGCTATTTCTCGCCCTTTAGAGCACTCGGGAGGAATGTGGGGCGGCCCTGCGATGCCTCCTGGGAGTCTTGAGCCTCCATAAAGGGCTCCTCCTAGGAACCCACCTGTCTCCACTAGGGCCTGGCTAGAGCTACTGCGGTCCCAGTCCTGGGAGCGGGAGGAGGTCGCCGACATGCCTGAGGCTAAACCAGGTGGCTGGCCAGAAACCTTCCCGGGGATGGGGTGGGAGAGGGACTGCAGACTAGGGCATGTCTCTACCGTGGGAGGAGGGGGCTCTTTGCCTGGTCCTACATCTAGGGGGAGTGTGGGTTCCTTCCCTGCTTGGGGAAGATGGGCCCCTTCTCTGTGCACAGATGGATTACTTCCTAGTGCAGGGTGGTGGGGTCTCATGTCTGTGTAGGGTCAGGAGTCACCCTCCCTCTTCCGGGACTGGGAGACCCATCCTGGGTAGAAATCTCAGCTGTCTAATTATAAATTGGGCTCGGTTTCTTTCTCTCTCTCCCTCTCTGCTTACTTCATCCTTTCTTTCTCTCCTCCCGCCCCCCCCCCCCCCCCAGCCCTATAGACTGGTGTCAAACTCACTCCCAGGCTGGCTTGGAAGTCCCAATCTTACTGCCTCAATCTCCCAAGAACTGGGTGGTAGGCATGCGCCCCTACACCCAGCGAGGGGGCTCCTTTTCTTGGGGCTTATGGGATCTTGCTGTGCACTGCTGGGGCTCAGCTTAAGGATAGGGTCCTCTCCAGATGGGAGAACTCCCTCAAGGTAGTTGAGTCTCCTCACTGAGTGAAGATTGGGGGCTTTCTAGATCATGGAGTGCTTCTATGGACACAGTAGGACTCCATATGCATGGAATGATACTTTTCTGTGTAAAGATGAGAACCCCCTTGGTGTGAAAGTTGGGCTTCTGTGCAGGAATTATGGGTCTCTTTTCCATGGGTGGGGAGCCTTCTTTTTCCTGCTCCGATGGGCATGGAATCCAGAGCCTCCCGCCTGCTTGGCAAGCACTAGCCCTGTCCCAGACCCCAGTATCTCTCCATGTGTGGTTAGGTTTACTCCTTGGGGACAGGAGCAGTCTGTATGCTGGCTGGGGCTTTCTCTTTTTCTGGAAGTGGGCATTGCACATGAATCCTGGCATCACCTTCCCCAAGGTGGCTGGTCCCCTGGTGTCAGCCCAGCTAGACTGAGGTGGACACCAGCTCTCTTGCACAGACTGACCCATGGGTCAGTGACCCGCACCACATGGGAGACTGCTGTGGTCAGCACCAGTGTCCAGTTTCCATCCCAGGGGAAGGGCTAATTATACCCCAAACCTGAAAGGTCAGGCTGACGGCCAGAGTCTGGGGCGAGGCTACGAGGGTTGGGGGAACCTGATTCCATACTCAGGGTTAGGATCAACTTATGCCTGGAATGGGGGGGATCTGTAACCCACCATCTGAGGGAGGAAGGCCTGATCTGGACCTTGTGTCTGAGGGAGAAGGTTTGAGGCCTGGACCCCCAGGTCTGAGGAAGGTCTGGGTCTGGACTCTGCATTCTTGGGGAGGAGAGCACTGTATTAAGCTGAAGTCTCCACATCTCCTGTTCAGCAGCCAAAAAGGCCCCCAAAGGAAAGGATGCGCCAAAGGAAGCCCCTGCTAAGCCGGCTCCTGCAGAAACCCCCAAAGGTGAGGTGCCCCCTGGGGCTCTGCCAACTGTCTCCGCCTGGCCCCTCTGCACAGTGGCCCTAGCCTTTCCTAATCCCTTTCCTGTAGCTGTCCCCACACAGCGACAGAGCCACAGTCCTTCCTGGCTCCCCAGCACCCCACCCAGGCTGGCACTTCACTCTGAGTAATGATTCAAGTAATTCTTGCCCAGTCCCCAAAGGCTGTGTCCATATTTCCATGTCCTTTACCTGAAAGTCCATTCAGGACCATCCTGGCCATAACCTGCTGGTCTACAGAAGGGGAAACTGAGGCCCAAGGGGCTGAGAGAGCCTAGCAAAGTTTATGCCCTCTGGATAAAAATGCAAGCCACACCTCTAGTCTCTGGTTTCTGAGCAGAGGGATTCTTACTGACCCCAGAACCCTTCCCAAAGAGGGCCTCTGCTTCCCCTAGACCACTGCTGATACCCTAATCCTTTCTCTTGAGCAGAGGCCCCACCTGAGGGCCAATCCCCAACTGCAGAGGAGCCCACAGGCATTTTCCTGAAAAAGCCGGACTCTGTGTCAGTGGAGGCTGGTAAGCACTTGAGAAGAACAGTCTAGAACCCGAGTCTGAGGGAGGACTCCTGGGTCTAAGGGAGGAGAGCTGGGGAGGACTCCTGGATCGGACGGAGGAGGGCTGGGCCTGGACCCCCTGGATCTGAGGGAGGAGGGCTGGGTCTTGAGCTCAGGGTCCTCTCTGGAGAAGTGGGTTCCTC